GTTGTGAGACTTACACACGAGGCTTATTACCACAAAACTCAGATCAAATTCAAATTTGGGTAGCGTCACTTTTCAGAGTTCCCGAAAACTTATTTTGACCCGTCTGTCATGGGACCGACAAACCATGATTATTTGTCAGTCCTACAAAATTTTAGCCAGTCCTACAAAATCTGTCAATTTTATCCTGAAATAAAATTAATAACATATTTTATCAAAAAATAACTTTATTAATATTAGTTTGATTCTTCGCACCCACAGGCAAATTAACAATGAAGGACCAGTTCAGGTCTTCTGATTGTTCTTATTTAAAGTCATCTTCACTATCCATTTCATCATCTGAATCACATTCTCGGCTGTTACAGTATTTGTTTGCTCCATTGTAGGGTTCAATCGCCGATTGTTTGCCAGGGATGGCTCTAACAAATTCAGTAGGCCACGTGTAGTTCGCCGCTTTGGTTTGTTTATAATAAATCCGTAAACCAGTACCGGAAATTGGCAGCGGGTACATCTGATAACCGATGTAAACACTTATTGGAAACAGTTGCGGTACATCTAATAACCGATGTAAAAAAGTTCTGAAATTTGCACTACAACGACTGTTTTTACATCAGTCATCGAGACCGGCAAGCGGGGGCATCATCTGTGTCCACATGTGGACACTATCCACATTTATTTTAGCAAGAGTAAGGAGAGTTCTACAAATAATGTGAATACATAGAACCCTAATCCAATTTATCTTTTGCTAAAAGTGTTCATCATTTTCTGTTTTGTATCTACTAACAAAATTCTGCTATTCTATATTTCCTATTTAAGTGTTACAAAAACTGCTTTAAAAAAAGATATTCCCAAAGTTAACATTCCGCTGATTGGTTGAACTACTGAGGTCATCCCTAAAATTCACAAACCTAAACTATAAATACTGTGGATTCATTAATCATGAATCATTTTAGTGTGTACCAATTTTAGCAGATTAAGAAAAACTTGCATGTTCATGGATACTTAATTTTGTGGTTTTGCCGAAGTCAGCCTACAAGCCTATAGGAAATATGTCATTCGTTGAAAATTTAATATCGTGGTTCACCTGTTCCCACGAAATCCCCGAAAATTGGTATCCCACGAATAATAATGAATCCACAGTACATTTCCTGTGATTCATGTAAGTCTTCAGTGAAGCTACTGTAAAAGTAATATAATAATCCTGATTTAATCTTTAATATTAAATGAAGCAGAAACTATATACCGGTAGATGAGAAGACGCTGACAGATTGTTAAATGAACCACTATATAATGTTGTTACATAAAATCTAATAGTGAGTAAGGATCCATCCCGCCATAAAAAATTTCATGTTTGAGACTTCTTTGACTTTTGAGAACAGAAAATATAATCTTTTTGTTTTCAGAAATTCTGTTGAGCGTTCATGATTATTTACAATAATTTGTATTATATTTGGGTGCTGTTGACCTTTGTCTTTGAGAGCGATAAGTAACAATCCCATTTCTTAGAAATGTAGGGGACAATGAACAGATATGGGTCACGGACATTTTTCTCTAATTTTAATACCTAACCATTTTATAAATTCTGAATTATCTGTATTTACAATATCTTTGTATTTAATGTGTAATCATGAACATATCTTCAATTTGTTCAAGTAAATACAGGATAAATGGCTAACATATGATGATGCACACAAAAGATGGCAACAAGACATTATTTGTAAACAATCGTCGAAATGTACATGTGTCAGACATTTTCATATCAATCCAAATTTTGGATTATTGTCTACAGATTTTGCAACAAATACTGGATTTCCACCAATTTGTCTAACCAGATTTTTGTCTTGAACTAATATGTCCAAGAAACTTATTCAATAGACAATACAACATCATCATCCATATATTATTAATGTAATATAGCTATAATCTGAATGAAGAACACATTGAAAATATACACTTTATTGCTATTTGGAAATCTGTCTTGGTTGACCTGAGAATCTGCCCCGCTTGAACTATTGACGTCATACAACAATATCTTTTCCATTGTAGCATCAGATATTTTGTATTATAACGTTGAAATTTTACAGGAACCTTTGTGATGTCCAGTAATGGCAAACAATTCGCAAGCAGGTGTGTTATTTCAACAAACATGTTCAATACTTTGTAAAACTAATCACTAATAAATGGACTTATTTTTTTGACAGTCACCATTACACTTAAACACTGACAGCTGCAATTGTAGGTGAGGAACCCTTTCCCAATAGACCACTATAGAGTTAACGATATGTTTGCTGGAAAATTTCGTCAATTATACACGCCTTCAAGATGTCATTTACTAGATAAGGGAGCTACCATTTGATTTTTATGGGGGGGGCTAGGATGAAAAATTTTGTCCTGCCTTTTTATTTTTCCCTCTATTTGGTCCTGCCTTTTTATTTTTCACTCTATTCGGTCCTGCCTTTTTTTTTTAGATTATCCTGACTTTTTTTTTTTACATAAATTGTCATCCTGCCTTTTTTTTTTGCAAATAATCTCATCGTGCCTTTTTTTTTACTCAAAACTCTTGTCCTGCCTATTTTTTCAAATTTTTTCCTACCCCCCCCCCCCCCCCCCCCCCCCCCCATAAAAATCAAATGGTAGCTCCCTAAAGGGGACCGCCTGTATCCCTGCACTATTAAAGTTCATCAAGTGTCTTCGAAATCGTCAAGATGAACAAGAAATAATAATGTTTGTTCCAAAAGGTGCTTACAATAACACTTCTCTAATGACTGATGTGATGATTGGCAATTATTATAATTTAATTTGCAAAAATGATTTGTCCAATAAAGCATTATTTTTTTTTTTCAACCAATCGCTCAACATAGGAACAAAAAAGACGACGCCCTTAAACGCAAGAATGATGTTCACTTAAACCAAAGTTTTTGAGGGAAATGCAATTAACTTAAAAGTTGTCTATTTCTCTGGTCTTGCACATGCTGCAACAGTCTCCAAAGCTTAACTAAGGTTCAAAAAATGTATGCTGTTTTTTGCATAGCCAATGATGTTAACAATTTGTTAAAGATTATGATTACAAATTTTGACTCAAATATAATCTTTATTGACTATGATTGTCAGTTTTCCAACCCTCTGGCTTCCTCCACTATGATATAAGTCCATATTACTGTTTGTTTACCTGTAGGTTATTTTAACAGAGAACACTTAATGGTATATGTGTGTACTATTATGCAGCTGAAGGAGCATTTGAATACATGTATCTCATTCTTTTGATATTAAGGGACCTGCCCCCAAAAAATATTGGTTAGTTTATATTACAGAACTCCATATCTAGATAGGATGCATATTTGTGTGATCATGCAATGAAAACAAGTGAAAACCCTATGCAATTGACTATTGCAACATTCAAAACCACAATTCATACTAAGGAAAACCCAATTATCTATGAAACCCATGGGTTCTTAACCCTTCTAATTGTTTTCCTGTGCATTATTTACCCTTACCTTTTCATTATCTTCATGTAAATCTATTTTTGTAATATTAATTATCTGCTCTTTGGTCGTGTTGTCTCTTTGAGGCCAAACAAAAATATATGTCTGTTTACGGTTACAAGACCGACCCTACTTTTGAGTGCCGACCCTAAGTCATTTTATTTCTGTCGTAAAGTGAAAAATAAACTAAACTAGTGTCAAAAGCGAACTTAGTGTTGCAAATGATATAAATCAATTGCCTGATACATCCCAATGTTCACAATCGCGAATATGACAGCTGTTTTAAGGAAATTCGCAACTCGTGTGATGAAATAAACATTTTGCCGCCATTTTTTTCCAAGGGAAATAATCCAATCATCAAAAATACGGGTAAACTCTGCCCATGATCAACTCACATCACGACAAGTCGAAACGGCATGACTCAAAAACATGTCACAAAAAATAAAATGAAAAAATAAAATAAAATGGAAATACCGACCTACCTACCCTATTTTTTTAAAGTATGTAACATTAAACAGACATTTTTTTTTTTTTGGCCTGACATAACCCCCATTTCCATTCTCAATTTTACTTTTTACAGTTTGTCTTTACTGCAGTGTGGAGACAGTAAACTGCCTCCCTGTGCTTTTGGTTTATGCTCTTATATCATATTAGATAATGGAGTGTGTGTTTCGACTCCATTTGACTAATCAATGGTGCAACAATACAAACAGTTGTTACAGTGAAACATCAAATCAAATATATACATGTAGTTTAATAGCATTGGAAACCAAAAGTTACAATAAGGAACAATCAATGCCAAGATAAAAAGACGCTGCTATTTTCAGTGTTTGGTACAGGTTGGCTGTCACTGTGTACAACATAGAACCCTTTGGTGAAAACCCAGATAACTTTTTTGTCAGAAAACACTGTCAAACATCCAAACATACTATCCACACTGATCTGTGTCCACACTTGTTAATGTCATAAAATAATTCTATAGATATAAGAAGATGTGGTATGAGTACCAATGAGACAACTCTCCATCCAAATCAGAATTTGTAAAAGTAAACCATTATAGGTCAAAGTACGGCCTTCAACACGGAGCCTTGGCTCACACCGAACAGCAAGCTATAAAGGGCCCCAAAAAATGACTAGTGTAAAACCATTCAAACAGGAAAACCAACGGTCTAATCTATGTAAAAAACGAGAAACACTTATGAAACACTTATGAACCACATCAACAAACGACAACCACTGAACATCAGTTTCCTGACTTAGGACAGGTGCAAACAAATGCAGTGGGTTTGAACTGTATAAAAATAATTCTATCACTGTAATTCAAAGATAATCAAGATCAGAATGACGCTGAACTAAGTCGGATAGACACCGTGTTCTTCCAGATCATAATGACTCTGAACTAAGTCGGATCGACACTGTGTGCTTTTGCCTGTTCGTAGATACTTAAAGGCTTGAAACAACATTAAGATGAGTTCTTCATTTTTTTTACGTTTGAGACCAACTTCACAAGTTTCAATTTACCTGTACATACTGTCCAGATGATGCCGTTGGGCATGCCTGTGTATTGCAATTATCATATTCGCTGGAATCTCCTGAACATGGCAATCCACCATTTTGTGGATAAGGATCAGAGCAAGTTCTAGATCTTGTATATTGTCCACCTCCACAAGTCACTGAACACTGACCGAAGCTACCCCACTGCGACCAGGCTCCATCAACTATTTAAATGACCAAAAACATAATCGATTCGTAAAACTTCTATAAAGAGATATAGGCCTTTTTAGGCTTCGTTTGTCTTTAATTACAAAACTAGTTTTTCAATTGGACCTGCTTTGATACGATTACTGCCCTTGAATTTTTACTAGATACCTTTTTTGTTCGCTATGTAGATTCCGTATATCATCAAGTTATCGGAATGCCAATGGGGACTAACTGTGCACCACTTATTGCGGACCTGTTTCTTTATTGTTATGAGTTACAATTTATGACTAAAATCAGCAAAGACCCATCGAAACAACATCTGATACCAAAATTTAATAACACTTTTAGATATTTGGATGATATGTTGGCTCTCAATAATGACGACTTCAGTGTGTACACTAAAGAGATTTATCCTGCTGAACTGACTTTAAATAAAGCTAATACTAACAATGAACACTATCCTTTCCTGGATCTTGATCTCTATATCTTTAACGGGAAGCTAAATACCAAAATTTATGATAAAAGAGATGATTTTTTCATTTCCTATTGTTAATTATCCATTTTTAGATGGTGACGTTCCCTTGTCACCATCTTATGGTGTTTATATATCTCAACTTGTTCGATTCGCTCGTGTATGTAACAACGTATTTGATTTTAACGAAAGAAACCTCTATTACTCAAAAATTATTTTACCAGGGTTTTCGATATCACAAACTAGTCTAAACATTTACTAAAATTTATCATCGGTACAAGGACATCATTCGTAAATATAAATCAACATGCAGACATCTGATACGGTCAGGTATTTCACATCCAATCTTTTATGGTAATATTCTATACAAAGCACAAAAATGTCGACATTCACCTCAAAAGCTAACAAAACCGTTAAACAGACTTATTCAGAAGGGATATAGTTACGATACTGGTCAGGTCATTAAAGATGGCATATTTTGGTATTGTATAATATTGATTCACTCATAGGGTCTTTGCATCGGAAATAAACTCATTTATTCTAAAACCAGTTGTTGGCTTGATACGGGTTATGTTCTTCTTGTATATTTTATGATGGTATGATACTAAACCCCTAACGGGAGAGATTGTGCTTGATTTTCATATAATGAAGACATAATCTTTCAATCAGTTTAATTGAGGTCTGGAGCTTGCATGTCAGTAACTGCTAGTAGTCCTTTGTTAATTTATGTATCATAGTCATTTTGCTTGGTTTCTTTTGTTACCTATTCTGACATCGGACTCGGACTTCTTTTAAACTGAGTTTACTGTGCTGTGTGTTTGTTTATTCTACATTTGCTAGAGGTATAGGGGAGGGCTGAGATCTCACAAAACATGTTTAACCCCGCCGCATTTTTGCGCCAGCCTCTGGCCTTTGCTAGTCTTGTATGTTTTTCAATTTTAGTTCATTTATATGTTTTGGAGTTTAGTGTGACGTCCATTTTCATTGAACTAGTACACATTTTTGTTTAGGGGTCAGTTGAAGCCAGCCTCCGGGTGCGGGATTTTCTGTTGAAGACCCATTGGTGGCCTTCGGCTGTTTTCTTCTCTTTGGTCGGGTTGTTGTCTCTTTGACACATTTCCCATTTCCGTTCTCAGTTTTAGTTTTGTTTTTTTATTCTATGCTTCGAACAGTTTTACTATTTCTATTGTACACTGTTGTGCTCGTATAACCAACGGGATATAAATACTACAGTTAAAGGCACTGTAACACAATATTACTCTTACTTTTATCTTATGATTAAAGTAATCGTTCATTTACCTTGCATGCATAACAGCATATATGCTGAATATAATATTTCATAAAAAAAATAAATCATTATAATACTACCGTTAAAATCGATTTGTTTTATGAAACTACGGTATTTCTTCTAAAACAAGACAAATGGCTGAATCAAACATTTATACTATTTATCTCATTACAAATAATCTTTCAAACGCTCATGTCGATGTAACAGTATTCTTGTAGATACTTACTTATACAAACTTGTGTATTACAGGTTTGTTGCTCATAATCACTGCCAATCTGAGAACAATCGGTGCCACCGTATTGTTGAACCGGGTTAGTACAACTTCTTGTTCTGTCTTGCGTGCCCCCACCACATGAAACCGTACAAACACTCCATGAACTCCAATCAGTGTAATTACCATCAACTGCAGATTGGAAAATATGATAAATCAATAGCGACATTTTGATACGATTTAAAGCAGCATGTACGCATATTGATAATATATCGGCAATATTTTTGACCAAGTGAAAAAAATGACTTCGGCAAGATCATATTGGTACAGTTTCTTAATTATATATTTTGCACTACTCAACAAAACTAGTTTCAGAGGATTATACTTACTTGGACACATCGACAGTGTACATGTCTGAGAATCTGAGTCGGAACCTTGACAGTCCTGACCACCATACTGAGGGGCTGGATTTGTACAAGATCTGTTACGCATTTCTACACCACTTTCACAGGTAACAGAACAAGCTCCCCATGTACTCCAGTCAGACCAGATACCATCAACTATTGAAAATAATACGGAGAAGAAATAAGAAAAGGAATATTGACTAGAACACATTTGCAGCTCAGAACACATTTTTTTCATAAGTGTATTAGCGTCGATTGAAACACGAGTTAATTCAAATAATTTACTGGCTTTATTTTTATTTGCATCGAAACCGTTGAAATACAACCTATAGTGCAATTACATTATACGATACAAAGTTGGATTGCGTTGAAAGTTAAATCATTGACTTACTTGGACAAGTTATAGAAGCAACGCATGACTGTGATTCAGTGTCAGAACCCGCACATTGTAATCCTCCCCACTGAGGTTCGGGATCAGAACAGTTCCTTGTTCTGGCTTGTTGTCCATTTGTATTTGATCCACTCGGGTTACATGTAACTGAGCATGCACCATAAGCACTCCACGCTGCCCAGTTTCCATCAACTAAAATTACAATTTATGTCATAACAAAGTTACACAGGCCAACTGTGCCTTTAACCAAATCAGCGGAGAAGATAATACAGAGAACCAGAAAATAGTTGATTTCTGAGGGCCACGTTAGACCGTAATATAATTTATACACTGAGCATTGAAATGATGACAATTTTTCTTCAATTTGATTACTTTTGATCGTAAAAGATTATTTCGGTATTTAATGTCAAATAAGAGCACACGTATTACCTACAGACATATAAGGTAAGCTATACAGTTGAGAAACCATGTTTTTGTTTTATGTTATATACCCATTTCTATGAAAATAAATCCTTTAAACTATTTTAGTGAAAATTACAAAATTGAAGTCAAAGTGTAACAACTTAAGATTGAAACAAAAGATGTATAAACAGAGTAAGTAAAATCGTCTAATAGATATAAGAAGATGTGGTATGAGTGCCAATGAGACAACTCTCCATCCAAATAAATCGTTATAATATATCCTACTATTTATAAACAGTAACCATGGCAAATTGCACAACAATCATTTTAAGCAGAGATAAAATAGGCAAGAATATGAACTCGAGAAAGCAGAAATTAAACTAAAAACGTGAAATAATATATCACGCTTCAAGGATTTGTTTTATTATATGTGATTGTCATTCTTTTAATATCGTCTCAATGTCAAAGCAATTGTTCTTTCAGTATTACTTAAAAAACTTACTTGGTGATGGTTTAGCACAGTCTTCGTCATCAACACCATCGCCATCATCATCTGTATGAAAGGGTAAACACATTCAATATAAACTGTTATCACAGAGATATGTCTCGCCTTTTTGTAATTTTGATAATGCAAATGTTGAAATTAAAATAGCAATACTTTAACATGTAAGTTATGCAAATATTCAAAGTCGATGAACCATGATTGAAGGTACATGGCAAAACAATCTCCATGGACTGAGATGTGCCAATGCTAATACAACTGCATACCAAATACCATTGACTTATTATAAGTCGTTCCCTTTAAACAAACCTTAACACAAACGTTAACTTGTAAACTATGTACAAGTTTCAAAGTCAATGAACCATGATCAGGGGTGGGGCTATATAATCTCCATGGAAACGATACTTGCAAATGCCAATAAATTTGCATACCAAATATCATTGACTTAACATTAGCAGTTCATCTTAAACTGATCTAATCACAAACTAATACATGTAAACTAAGCAAAAGTTTCAAAGTAAATAGACCATGACTGAGGGGGCGGGGCCAAATATTCTCCATGGAAATGAGATGTGCTAATGCTTATACAACTGAACACCAATTAAGATTGGCCTACCACTAATGGCTCCCCTTGAACTGACCTAATCACAAACTAATACATGTTAACTTTGCAAAATTTTCAAAGTCTATAGACCATGACTAAGGGGCGGAGCCAAATAATCTCCATGGAAATGAGATATGCCAATGCTCATACAACTGCATACCAAATATCATTGATCTACCACTAGTGGTTCCCCATAAATTGACCTAATCACAAACTAATACATGTAAACTATGAAAAGTTTCAAAGTCATTAGACCTTGACTGAGGGGGCGGGGCCAAATAATCTCCATGGTAATGAAATGTGCCAATGCTAATACAACTGCATACCAAATATCATTGACCTACCACTAGTGGTTCACCATGAGCTAGACCTAATCACAAACTAATACATTGTTGACGCCGCCGTCGCCGTCGCCGTCGCCGACGCCGGAAACAGCATACCTATGTCTCGCTTTTTGACTCCGTCAAGGCGAGACAATAAAAAGCTATTATCGGCTCAAAATCAATTACAGTGCTCAAAGAAAAGACTCAAAATCAATCACTGTGCTAAAAGAAGAGGATTAGAAATCAATCACAGTGCTCAAAGAAGAGGATTACAAATCAATCACAGTGCTCAAAGAAGAGACTCAAAGTCAAACACTGTGCTAAAAGAAGAAGCTTAAAACTCAATCACAGTGCTCAAAGAAAAGACTCAAAATCAAACAGTGCATGTGCTAAAAGAAGAAATTCATAGTCAAACACTGTGCTAAAAGAAGAAGCTTAAAAATCGATCACAGTGCTCAAAGAAGAGACTTAAAATCAAACACTTCATGTGCTAAAAGAAGAGGCTTAAAACTCAATCACAATGCTCAAAGAAGAGACTCAAAATCAAACACTTCATGTGTTAAAAGAAGAGGCTTAAAACTCAATCACAATATATAAAGAAGAGACTCAAAATCAATCACTTCATGTGCTAAAAGAAGAGGCTTAAAAATCAATCATAGTGCTCAAAGAAGAGACTCAAAATCAAACACTGCATGTGCTAAAAGAAGGACTTAAAACTCAATCACAGTGCTCAAAGAAAAAAAACCGACAATTAACAATAACGTTATTTTAATACTTACCATTTTTTTAACCAAGCATAATATTTATTATCATGATAAATCGATAAAAAAAATATGTATGGTTCAAACGAAACTGTAATCAATTTATTTATTTGTTTCTGCAGTATCAGGAGGAAAGACTGTATAGTTTACCCTTCGAGAGTAGAGGGCTTGTTTTTATAAGGAGGTTGAATAGTCTTTCCAAGACGGTTTTTAAAAGGAACTGAATAATCCCCCAGAACAACAGTAACTATTTATAGTTAACTAACCTGCTCCGTTATTGCATATTTCCTCATCGATTAGTCCGTCACAGTCATTGTCGTAACCATCACCCATAACATTTGTTGTTGGTACGCAAACCTGGAGAAATATAAATAACTTCTACGTCATGTGGTCTCCGGTGGGGACTTGTTTCATTGGCTGCATTTAAGGAATGACTGTAATATTTTTTTTTGTCTATGACGAAATAACATCAATAGTGAATAGACAGAAAAAATATTAGTCATTCCTTATAATTTAATTCAAATACCGTTTTTAAGGAGTAAATTATGAAAAAAACGTTGATGACGTCACGGTCACATGACAAAATTATGTCTATGAGCTGAAAGACAAAAACTTTCAGCCAATCAGAAGATGTGTCACATCAAAAATTAAATTTTATAAATTTATGTTGAACGAGACCATTTCTGTTGACTCGGTTCATAAAAGTTATTATATACAAAAATTTATAATGTAACTATGTATGCTAATGGATTAAAAGTTTAAAGTTATAAGAGGATTTTTTTCTGATGGAATATTTATTTTCACCCTTTTTGAGCATCGCTTTTTTTCTCTGGCACATTTTAGCCGCGCGTTTATTTATTTATCCTGCAATCAACTATTACAAAAATAACAGGTATAGAAATTCACTTTTGCTTTATCTATACTTGTGCAAATAAAGAATTTTGTTATTATGCTTCCGTGTTGAGCGAACGTTATTGTGAATATTTCTTTTTGCATGACAGTTCATTTTGGGGTCCTTTTCGCGGTTCGCCTTTAACTATGTCAATTTCTTTGAAAAAAAAAATCAGTCAACTTTTATGATTAGTGCCGGCTGTAAATTGCATTATAAACACACTAAATGTACATTTTCGGAAATATATAAGTTATTTGTGCTAGCCACGAATCAAGAGAAAAGCTCGGCGAGCCTCGATTTTGTCCTGTTTCTAAAGCTCGTACAAATAACTTTTATATTTTCCTACAATGTACATATATTGTGTATACATGTTTTTCCTGCATTTTGTTGGGCACAGTATTGTTAATAATGTTCATTCTGTTTTGGGAAAAGTTTTTTACCAAGATATTCATTTACAAAATTCTCCTGCCCCCAACCCCCAGAATATCAAATAGTTGTCCCTTAAAGCAAAACAAATACTAAACCTATGGTATGATAAAAAACAAATATCACAGATGTACTTTACATACCGTATTTATGGGTGCCAGTCTCATACCAGTCGTAAATCCGTATGTTTCATAATTTGCCTGTCCATATAAGTATCCTCCAAAAATTGAGATTGTAGACTGGTGGCGAATTGTGTGTGAACCATCTGATACAGAAATATAACCAGCAACGTACTCTGTTCCGCCAACACTGATATCATTGTAAATTGTGGCTGAGGAAAATGCTGCTCCGTCTACTAGTAGTCCGTCCTTTTCTGCTTTTTTTACAACAAACATAAAGTAGTTATTATATGAACCCTGTGAATACCTTGGAGTAGCAAACGTGTAATCGGCACCATACTGTTCAACAGGAGGAATAATCATCATCATTGGATCGGATAATTCGTTACTGGATTGTTGACTAAGACAGAATTGGACAACTTTAATAGCTTTGTCAGCTGTCACATAACAATAAGCAGTAGACGGAATAAGTCTTTCCTCAAAGTCACCGGCGTTAGCTAATGTAAACGTTTCACTAAATCCACCAGAAATTGTCACGGTTGTTCCTGCTTCATTAGCGATGTACTTGAAATAGTCTCCTGTTGTCCTCAGTGGTATTGGGACAGTAACGAAATTCTTTCCCCATGTGCTTACTGGTGTAAGCTGTTCTACGAGGTGGTCCGAACTACCCCCAGTTCCAATTGTTGTTTTCTTGTTTCCACTAAAAGCAGCTATCTTTTTATCGGAGTGTATATACGTGCCTGTCAAATCTCCATTACTGTTTACCACCTGTATAGTGTCAAACTGGTTTATTGTAGCGGTTAGTGTGCTTCCTCCTGAATAGCTCACTCCATCATAAGTAACTGAACTACTCATACTAGCTGGAAAGGTAAATGACACAACAGTGTTATCGATGACACCTGCAACCGCTAGTTCACACTGTTGAGATGCTGGGTACCACGTGACGGCGTAATACTCCGTACCTAAAACATCCGTTGGAACTCCAAGAAATGCGTCATTCGAAAATTTCTCCTTATTTACACCGTAAATAACAACTTCATCACTAGCTGATACAAGAATACCTTTGCTTGAAGAACTAGAACCCGACATACGGAGACTAGGGTTAAAGAACAACTGTCTTACTGTTCCCGCAGTAACTGTAAACTGTTCATTGATTGAAGAAGAATATTTTGGTGCCGTTACCTGGACATTCACCGTACTCGTTCTCGTAGTGGTGATGAATAATTCTATTTCATAATCAACAGCAATGTTTTCCATGTACGCAATGATAAACTCAGTGCCTTCATTGTCGGGAGCTGGAATTTATGAATATTTTCAAACTAAAAATATATCATTTCTAAAATTCTAACGAAACAGAAAAAAGACAAATACAATATTTCGAAATATCAATAATTCATCTATTACTGTTACTATTTACATTGTGGTCATATTTGTGTTTTGTTTAAAGCGATTGATTTGAATTAGTAAATGTTTTGTAGAAAAAAAGTCTAGTTATATTTTGTTACTTGACAAAATTTGCTTTACATGTTTGTCAATCTTCGAATGCTGTTAAATGCAAAAGACCATCTTTGCGATGCGATGCATTTTTAAGACTGAAGGATTTTTGTCAGTAATATCTATGCAAATCTCAAAAATAAAACATGAAGGTCTTTCTCGATGTCTATTGTGGTTATGTTGTTGTTAGGCCGCTGTCTCATTGACGAATATCCCGTATCCTCCCATTCACACAATGAGTCATCCTTTAAAAATGTTTAATCGCATCATTGACAGCAATGCATATGCAACAGCTAAAGAGTATATCATATCTAAATTAAAGTTCGATTTCCCAATTGACAAAAAGGAAAATTCCAAATATCTTGTTAATCAAACAAACTATTGCATAAAATTAAAAGGGCGTTTTGGCTAAAACTTGTTAACAAATTTTTGAATATGTCAAATTTCTGTTCCGATTAATGCACATAAATACTGCATGGATAAGGGAAGTTGAAGTAAATATAAAAAGAAGATGTGGTATGATTGTCAATGAGACAACTCTCCACACGAGACCAAATGATACACAATGAGCAAAGTCCACACCGTATAGTCAGATATAAAAGACTCCGAAAATGATATCCATTAGATAAATGTTCATATCTTAAACTTGGTTTCAATTTTCATTTTATAGGAAAAGAAATTTATTAAGTATGAAACTAGGACAAAACTTGAAAATTTGCTACACGTTTTCCAACTTTACAATAATAAAATTAAGTATTTTTTTTTGCTTTCGGCCTTAAGTATTGTCTTTTGACAAATTAGGGCATTGTTTTTATAATTCATCCGTGCATGTGTACTGAAAAAATGGTTTTCTAGATTATATATATATATGATAGGTATCTAAAAAAGAACCGGAAGGTACTAACTGAATAAAACAGGATAAGCCTTAAGGTTAACATTCATTGTTGTTTTAAACTTTTATTTGGAATGTTTTATGTGCTTATACTCTTATTTGACAAGTTCTATGAAAAATATTTATTTTATTTAAATATATGGCAGGTGCGAATTTGACACATTAACCCAGAAATATAGTTTGCATTGGTCAGAAATGTTATTCGGTCATCTTTCTAGGTGAACGACCATATAAACAGAAGTTGTCTATCCGGAAAGTTGGATCAATTCAGTAAATAGCATTTTTAAATATTTTTTCGAGATACATTTGGTTGAAAATAGCCAGAAAAGTTGTAAATAATTTCACTTTAAATATTTTTGGGGATTTTCAGCTGTAGTTCCACTAGGCTTGTTCCCTCCGTAAAATAGTCAGTATGTCTTCGGAATATACAAATATTGTCAAACTTGTAAAATACCGGACATGTAACAGTCTGTAGCTCCATATGCTCTTGCGTACAAATCTAAGAGATTGGCAATAACGCACCATTTGACTTAAGTATCGGACCTAAGGACAAGGAACCCTAGATAGGTCCTGTCACAGATTTCTGTAAGATTTTGCATACAACTTGGATATATTGGAGAATCATAATGTATTGTTAAACTGTTTAACATTGGATGATAATTCTTGAAACTGGTGCTTATTGAGAAGGAACTGCATGTTAATTCGGCGAAAGACAATCTCAAAATTATTTAAAATTTCTCATTTTTCCTTGTGCAATGCCAAAATATGGGTATCGACAGATTGTAGAATACCGTGAAAGTACATATTTGTATAACAATAATATTCAGTATGGTTTAAACTTACTGATAACAAAATCAATATTTATACCAATAAAAACAAAATTCAAAGATCTAATAACAGTGTTGAATTGGTAACTTTTTAGAATAAGTTTATATGGAGCCCACTTTTTGTTTGGATGAAGCCTCTTCGTCTATCAACTTTCTTTCCAATACTTATGATAAATACCGTTAGAAATAATTCATTACCTCCATTTTAGATTTCAACAAACCTTTATCATATAGTTTTCACCTTTGAAGACAATATATATGTAAGGAAAAAAAAAGAACAGTGATATACTTTCATAGAATTTTTGCACCACCACAGTGTTGAAAATCGTGTTCTCAGTTCCGTAAAAACTTTCACAGTCCATATCGTTTGTCCGTAAACATTATGGATATTTACCTCCACCCCTGGTTTCGTAATTGAAAATCCAAGATCCGCCTTTACTAATAGAGGGAAGCACCATTTTAAATGGTTAAGAATGGGTGGAGCGAGAAAATCAAAAGAAAACTCTTCCTAGCCATTAAAATGGTACAAGTGGTATATATTGTGACCTTAATTTTCCATCAATCTTTTTTTTAGGACTTTGTCTATAGTAATAGTATAGGATTAAATAAAACAGAATTTTCCTATCCGAAACTACTACGCAATTCTGAATAAAGATTGATTCTATTACATCATATTGAGACAATTTAAAACATGTTTTCACATCTACTTATATAGTTTTAGTATCCTGAATGTTTTCAGAATATACCCGTTTATTCAATCCGTGTAAGAAAATAACGTCTCTATAATTTTAGTTCTCTATGAACTATTCCCCTTTTTTGTTGTTGTAAAAACGACCTAATATCGAAACCGTAACAGTCTGGTGTCGCCTTAGTTTCTCTGAAATCCTTCGCCGAAAAAAATAAATATTCGACTATCTGCAAGCAATTCACCCCGTGCAAATGATTACCTACAGCTTTATTCGAAAATGATGTTGAGCATTTAACTAGTCTGAGAGATCATGCCAACTTAGAGATGATTATGCAGAAAATGACATCATAAATATGATTTCCTTTGTCAGATATTTAGCTTTTATTTACAGTATATTTACATAAGAAATAGTAAATGATTGAATTTTCATTATCAACTGTAAACTACAAAAGGAGGAGGGGGAGGGGCAGCAGGAATATATAGAGAAAACGAAAGACCTAATTTATAACAAAACAATATATGAAAAACAAATATGACAGACATAAACCAACAACAACCACTGAACTACAGGCTCCTGACTTGGGACAGGCACATAAAGAATGTTGCGGGTTTAAAAATGTTTGTGAGCGTTCAACCCTTCCCTAACCTGGGACAGTGGTGTAACAGCACAACATCAGAACAAACTATAAAAAATCAGTTGAAAAAGGTCAGATCGATACAAAGCAGAAAAACATCAAACAGAAACAGACTGGACGTGGCAGGGTTTTTATTCATCCCTCATCTCTAACAACAAAAATGATATTAAGTACAGAGCTGAGAGTACTCGCAGTTACTGGCAGCTAGTTCAAAGCCAATAACAACTAATGAAAAAGAAAACATTTATCTAAGACTAAAACATCAATCAGTACACATCCAACATTCAATAGATTTAGTTTAAAGACTTCATTAACACTCAGAGATAAACACGACCATGTGCAATGCCAAAATATAGGTATCGACAGATTGTAGTACCGTGAAAGTACATATGTGTATAACAATAATATTTAGTATGGTTTAAATTTACTGTTAACAAAATCAATATTTATACCTATAAAACAATATTCAAAGATTTAATTACAGTGTTGATTTGGTAACCTTTTAGAATAAGTTTATAAAAGTTAAAAGAAACAATTCTGTCAATGACAGAAAATATACTTTTTTTGTAAAGACCAACTTGCAATTGAATTATTTTCCCGTAGAAAATTATAATAATCTTATTGAAAAGAATAGTTCATCTTCATGTAGGACACTTTGTGGTTGATTTCATGCTAGGAATCTGATGTTGAGTGGTTGTCGTTTGTTGATGTGGTTCATAATTGTTTGTCGTTTCTCGTTTTTTATATAGATTAGACCGTTGGTTTTCCTGTTTTGAATCATTTCAGTTTTGAGTTCTGAAGTAATCTTTTATTTTATTTTCGTTCAGTGTTCATCAACCTTTTCTTTGAATGACAAGGCTTTTCATAAATCTATGTACAAGCTTCATGACACCTAAAAAATGGAACAAAATAGGGACAAAGGCGAGATTGTTGTAAATGCGCCACTGAAAATGCGTTTCGATGTCGCCATAATATAAACTCTACAGAGGACTATCTCAGGTTTTTAAAAAATAACTATAATATAAAGTAAAACAACGAAAATACCGAACTCCAAGGAAAATTCAATACGGAAAGTCAGCAGTTATAATCTTAATCACTATAAAAACAAACAAATATTTTAACAAAAAAAAATCAAAATGGCATATAGGCAAAGCACATAAGCAAAAATGAATGACAAGTATACAAAAAATGACCATAGCCCAATAACATAATGGCGGGATGTATAAGTACCAAGCCACGCCAAAAGGATATTACAAAAAATGGACTAAACTGTAAAGGTTAATAATTTGCAAAGACAAATTAAAGAACACTATAACACGCAATTAAGATGACGTCAGTACCTAAAATCTATACTTCAAGACCATCACGTTTTATTTGTAAAGTTGATACGGAATATTTATCAACAAGGTCTTGGTCTTGGTATCTTCCGATGAACTTTTTTTTTTTAGAAAAAGGCCGAGACGTTCTTTGACATAACCCTTGTTCGTTCAAATAAAACCTCTTGATTGTTTGTGTAACGCCTTTTATATTGCTTTAGATAAACACTACAATAATGGCCCAACTCCACATAAAAAGCCCAAAAAAGAGAAATGTCACATGTGTGAAAGCGTTTCGGTCCGCTATGCTTATATTTCCGACTTAAATATTTTCATCAATTTAGTTGGGACTTAGGATCTTATTCCTACAGAACGTGAAGTGCCCGATAGCAATAATGAATCAATGAAATCACCACTATGAAAAATGACAAACTGTAATAAAATTCAAAGATCAAAATTATAGATATGCAGTCCCTAGTTGTGGTGTTTTGCTTCTCTCGAAATCAAGAGTCTTTTCTATCACAATCTTTAATTTGTTGCAACAATACTTCTATCAAAATGGAGAGTTCTGGTTTAAAAATTTGACAAACGAAAGTAAAATTTGCAGTAAATGTAGAAGATCTTTTCAGAAGATTGTAATGACCTGTGATTCGATAAAGGTCACACAAACGAAAGTGACCAATTGTCTGACAACATACCAGTACTGTCCTTGTCCTTCCTAATATCAGAGTTCCAAGATTCCATCTCGGAACAAATATCCTTTGATAGCACAGATATTGAAACACTTGCTCTAACTGAAACGTTTTTATATCTGGTGACAAAATTATTTTCAGATTCGCCAGTTTTCCTTTGTGACCTCTTAGAATATTTTAAAACGTGCATAAAAATTCACTGCACTAAAGGGGAGCCCCGATTTTGAAAAAGACCGAAAATGGTTACGGAAGAAAATAGAAAATACTTTCTTTGAAATTATAAGTTTTCATGTTGTCAGCAGAAATGGTTATATTGACAAAGGCAAAGGAACTCGTTTACTCAGAAAAGGATCTTGCTAGCATGCTTCACGATATATGCTGGCAAAGACGAACCAGTAAGAGAGTACAATAGTCTTCTTTGTTGGATAACTCTATAGCTCGTGACACAGACAGTATTCCTTCAAATGGTTACCACAAAGTTATATTTGACATCAGCAAGCGGTACCAAATAGATATAAGAAGATGTGGTATGAGTGCCAATGAAACAACTCTCCATCCAAGTCACACAAAACCAAAAAAAAAAAAAAAAATTCAAACAATGTTTTGAGAATTCTGAACTATCAAAAATCATTTTTTTTCAATTTCAAAGTCTATTGATCCTTTTCTATGGACTTTCTTTTTCTTGTTTCTCAAAGTAAAAATGAATGGAATACTTTGAAATCTTTTCCCCGTCTCATTTTGAGGAAAAGCAATCTTGTCATTACAATAGTAGAGTCCTTAGAACCCTTTTTTCTATATGCCATACTATCAACTAAGTTAGCAATGGAGAATGTTGCTAATCCACTACACATTTTTTGCTAGCTGATACTGTTGATACATACAGTGTGTCAGCTAAACTTTCATCTACACTTAATATTAAAACTCTTTCGGCATTGTTTGCTTAAAAAATAAATCACGTGACTATATAGATTCAAGAGTTAATCGTAAAAACATGACTACATTCATAGATGACCTTAATGTAAATTCTTTTACCTTAGTTTCAATTGACAACATTGATTTTGGCCAACCCAATGCAGTTGTTTCTGTTGGTTCTCAAAACAGGGGGATTCATGCAACTTCCTATCAAGCAGTTCAACCAAAATCATCAGCTTTGTTAGATCTCATAATTCAAGGGATTTATTGCATACAAATGTAATTATGGACACTTCTAGTGTAAGTACCTTATCTTTTGCACTGAATGACACAGAGAAAGCTGAAGTTTCATCTCTTGACGAATGCATTTTTCAGTACATTTTGAAAAAAGTAGTCAATTGAAAACAGTGACTTGCTGATTCCAAATATGAAATGTCATTTATCCAAATTCAAAGAACCCCATACAGAAAGGGCAAACATTGTGTATCTTGGTGTATTAAATGAGCCCTGTGATAATACAGAGACGGTTAAACACAAAATTGAAAAAATAATTCAATATTTGATGTTCCAAGTCAAAACAAATACATGGTCATGGTGGGAGATGCAAAGACATACAACATTTTTTGCAAATTAAAATCAGAATATTCTAAGGGACTTTCTTGGGTGATTTCATTTCCCGGTGCCTGGCACGTATGGAAAAACAAAGTTTGATGTTGATTCCTATAGTCAAAGAAACAAGACAGTTCTACTCTCCTGATCTTCTTGATACCATGTCTGTTTACCTCCCATAAAGAGCTTCCCTACAAAATAATGTTCAAGTTCAATTAGGTAAAAACAAAGATGAAATAGATAAAAACAAAGAATTTCAAAATCTATTCAGAAACTTGATAAGGAAATGTGTTCTCAATATCTGAAAAAAATACTAGATAGTAAAATGTTTGATTGCAATATCAACAATAATAGAGGTCTTATACCACTGATCACTGAAAGCTATAGGTACAACATATTAGAGATTTCCAATAAAATGACTTTACTCGACATTACCGACCTAACTCAACGTATTTCGTCCTATTGCATTGAAGCATGACGGAGGGGAGCATACACTGCATGCACTTTTTGCTTTTTGAACACGCATTTTTTGCTGATATAGACCTAATGTAAAAATCAATCCCAACTACTTTTTTTAATCTTTAAATATTTTGTCATTAAATTTTGAATGATTTTATTGACAAAAATATTTTAATGGAATACTTAAGCTATCAACTTGTAATCAAATACACCCATCATTTCTTGTCATTTCACTTGACCCATATTTCAGTTCTTCTCAAATTGTGAATTTTAAAAACTATCAAATAAACATTTAGCATGAAAATATTAAAATAATGAAATTCGAAGCGAGAAGTTTATCTCTTTTTTTTTGTTTTTATAAGTTTTAACGTTTAAAAAGTAGATTCCAACACACCCGAATGTAAAAGGTGTACGCGACTAACTTAAAAAAAATAAATTTTTCTATAATTTAATTCAGGATAATTTGACAGAAATTTATATCATTGATACATTTATCAAATAGTATTTTTTAGTCTTCAACTATAATAATGCATGGGACGAGGTTTTTATCCATGTATACCTAAACGTGCATTCACAGATACAGGGGTAGAGGGCGTACTCCCCCCTTTCGATCGCTAAATAATTTGGAAAATCTCACGTTTTCCATGTTATCTATACGAATGTTTAGTATAAAATCGTCTAATTCTTTTTCGCGTTGCTCCGCTCGGCAGTATAAATTCAATTATCGGGAACTATGCCCTCATTCGAATATCTTGGGTCCGGCTATAATCACAAATTGTATGGCACCAAAAAAAAATTAAATGATTGTCGTTTGACTTTGATAAATACGTTTTAAAAACAACAATGTTTGAACATTAATTTAGACATCTCGCACGAGATTTAAAAGTTTAAGACTACAAACTGAATTGGATTTTTTCCTAGATTTAGAGCTCACTCAAAACGGAAATGTGATACTGGCGTGAAATCTAATGGACACATATTCTCGTTTCTGATGTTTATTTTAATATAAATATTCATTTATCTAGCTATATATAATTCCACTAACAAATAATCATGTATCTTTTACTGATAAATTATCATTACATTTTATAGAAACTACATATAATCTGCTATACAGTTATGAACACTAATGGTCCTACAGGCACTCTGTGCTTTTGGCATGACACAAGGTCTTGCTTTTCTAGTGTTTATAGATATAGGAAGATGTGGTATGAGTGCCAATGAGACAACTCTCCATCCAAGTTACAATTTATAAAGTAAACCATTATAGGTCAAGGTACGGCCTTCAACACGGAGCATTGGCTCACACCGAACAGCAAGCTATAAAGGGCCCCAAAAAATTACTAGTGTAAAACCATTCAAACGGAAAAACCAACGGTCTAATCTATAATATAAAAACGTATGAACTACATAAACAGACGACAACTACTGTAATCCGATTCCTGACTTAGGACAGGTTTATGTACTTTTTTACTTAATTTGTGAAGTGTACAAAAAAGAAGATGTAGTATGATTGCCAATTCGACAACTCTTCACAAGAGACCAAATGACAGAGAAATTAACAACTATAGGCCACCGTACGACCTTCAACAATGAGCAAAGCTCATACCGAGTAGTCAGCTATAAGAGGCCACAAAATGATAAATGTAAAACAACTACAAGTATAAAACTAACGGCCTAAATAATGTACAAAAAAATGAACGAAAGCACAGCAACAAACGATAACCACTGAATTACAGGCTCCTTACTTGGGACAGTCACATCCATACATAATGTGGCAGGGTTAAACATGTTAACGGGCCCACTTACCTAATACAGTGGTGTAACAGTACGAAATAATTGATTAATATTCTAAACTGGATAATTATTCTGTATTTATTAGTAGTAGTTGTTTTTAAGATAGTGTTCAGTAGCTGTGAATATATACTCTAAGATCGGTACATGGAGTTTATTTGGAAATACTAGTAATTGCTGTTTTTGTGCTTCGTTTTAGTCGGACGAGTCAATCCCTTTCTAACTGTTTTAATTGTGAGTAGACATGATCATTTGATAAACATACTTCTATGATCTCTATAAGCTTTAACTTGGACATTTATAAAAACTATGTAGAAAAGAGATGCATGCGTGAAATAAGTTCTCGACATAAATGATAAGAATTTAGCCTCAAGCTACGATACTTACAAGCTATAATGAATACGACGAATATTTAGCCTCAAGCTATAATACTTATGATGATGATGATACTGATGCTTGTCTTATATCCAGCGACAAATATAACATATATATTAAGGATGATGAAATGATAATGATAAATGATTATACCTTTTTGTACATGACCAACACTTACAGGCGCATTTTTATATGCTAGGTAAATAAGCGTACCCGATACAAAGACACACTTGTCTTTCTTTGATTAAACCAACACCTACTCTTACTCGTGAATGCATCATGCTTGGTGGTGAAGCCGAAAAATCCAGTTTTAAAATCATTCGATCAGGGGGTCCAACAAAATAATTGAACCCGTAATCGAGGCTAATCTGCTACCAGTCAATCCCATATCTAATAAAAACCTGTTTATATATTTCATGCTTTATGTGCATATATTACTATTCTAGCAACACTTGTTTTGTTGCATAATTTGTTTGGTTTTTCTCCTTGTTTCTTTGTATCAAAAAGCTTAGTTTTTATTGTAAAATGGTGTTTCACAGCTTCCCTTATCCTTGTGACTTGCTATTGTATTAATATCCAGTAGGCATGCAATTATTATTCTAAATAGTATAAAATATTTTTTAACAAGTAAATATTAACCCGTTTTGATCCAGACTTCCTTACCACTAGCATCTTAGATACATACACTGATAAAATATTGTACCTGCACTCATATTGCAAGCACTCTGTCTGTCCGTCCGCCAGTCTATCCCGGTTCAACAAATATTTACAATTTTCTCTTCAAAAGCATTAGTATGCTTAGCATGCATTCTATTTTCGATTTATTCATTACACTCCGACATGTATATACCTAGATCCGTTTGGAGCGTCCAACTATCAAACAGAGTCCAAATGGCGTGAATT